GGTTCTGAGATCTCGTCTTCCAGTTGCTTCAGAACCTTGGGGTGTAATCCATCTTCTCCTGGTGATTTGAACTCGTCTAGGGTAGACAGGTGGTCACTTATCATTTTCTTCCCTATTTCAACTTGTGTTCCTAATCTGATTTTTGTGGTGCTGTTTTTGATAGCTTGGACTGTTTTTTCCCTTTGTGTAAAGAAAGATGCAAAAAAAATGAGTTAAATAGTTCTGCTTTCTCCCTGTTGCTTGTCACCTTCTTGCCATTTTCTCCCAGCAATGGACCAATTGTTTCCTTAACTTTTTTAAGTAGATGCATTGGAACTGGTATGTCTTGAAGCATTATTGAGAGATGAAATTGGCTTTCAAGAAAGACCAAATGAAAAAGACAAAAGAGATATGGTAAGTGAAAGTATTACATAGCCAGTATGTAACAGAAATAGCAGGCAAACTAGATAACAGAACTGGCAATGGCTAAAAGCATTTTAAGATGCTTAAGTTTAAGTTTAAGAAAGAGACAGAGGGGTCAATTCTGGCTGCATAAGACCAAACCTTAAGAACAAATTCATACTAAGTCAAAATTGCGAAGACAGACAGCAAATGCCGCCTCTGCAAAGAAGCTGAAGAAACACTGGATTATCTAACTGCTGTAAGAAGATCATATAGACCAGGTGTCAACTTGCCAAACATTCCTGACCTGCTCCTATGGGCAGGGGGATGAGGAATCGAGCCTTGCAGCTACATCGAGGAACTTACATTTCAGTCAAAACAAAGCACATTCCAGCTGGCAACATCAAGGTCATCTCCAGGGTGACCCACAGTGGCTAGAGGGAGTGACTTCTACAACCTGCGAAATTGCTTCATTGGGGAATGTGACTGATGACACACTTTGGGGGAAGGGGAAACAGGATCAGAACCAAGGTGTGAATTAAGTGAGCTCAGAGTTGGCTTCATTTGGTTCATGCCGACATGAAACTTCTAATAAATAACTGGATTTCTTTTGAAGCTTGGCTTGAGGCGCATGATTTAATTAGGGCATCAGTTGGAACCCTGACACCAGGGGTGTCACACTCAATTTCATTTAGGGCCGCATCAAGGTTGTGTTTGACCTTGGGAGGCTGGGGTGGGCTTAGCCAGCTCAACATCACTTTATTGGGGGCGCCTATGGTGGGCCAAGCACTTGGCCAGCGAATACAGGCTCCCAGGCATTATTTTCGGCTGCAACAGCCTCCTGCAACCCTCTGCCAGTGAAAACAGAGCTCAGGAAGGTGGAAGTTGGCTCTCTGAGCTGTTTTCACTGGGAGAGGCACTGCGGGCCGGTCCTTCACTGTTTCGAGGACAGCCCCACCGGCCAAATCTAAACACCCCGTGGGCCGGATCCAGGCCCTGGGCCTTGAGTTTGACACCCCTGATATAGACTGACTACAAGCAATAGCACAACACAATAGCAATAATAGTGCACTAGAATATTTGAAAGAAATACCATTTCCCTGCAAGCAAAAACTAGTAGGACAACAAAACAGGCAAATAATAGAAAATGAAGAGGCTGAAGTGTTCTTGGACTTTAGAATTCAAAAAAAAAACAAAAAAAAACCTGCCACATTACACATCAAACTTAATAACTGTCAATAAGAAAGACAAAGAAGTTTGAACTGCAGATGTGGCAGTACCTGGAGACAGAAGAAGAAAAGAGAAAGAATGAGAGAAAATCACAAAATATACTTCTGGAAAAAGAAGTAGAACAACTTATACAACATATATTTTTTATCATTTATTCAAGTTCTAAATTTTTGGAGGGAGGGGGAAAGAAAAGGAAGAAAAATTAACTATAGACAAAAAGGACAAAAATTATAGTACAGTTTACAATCACTTGGTGAGTTTTTTCATTTGCATACAATGAGACAGTTGAGCAATAACAGTTGTATAAATGCTTGTCTTGACTTTTAGATTCCAAAGTAAGTAAAGCACTCAATGAATAACAAGGCAGGAGGTTAGAAACAAGATAAAGTTTCAAGATAAAGATTCAGGAACAACAAAACAAAAGAAGAGAAAACTGATGAGATCTTGGGTAGAGTGGAATAAATATTTGAAAAGAATTCAAAATGTCTGGGTATTTTTCCATATCTGCCCAAAAGAAATGTCATCATAGGCCAGGATTGGCAAGTGAGATAATTATTGCTATTTGAGATTGATATTTGAAAACCTGTTCTGTGTGAATGGTGCCATGGCTAATAAGATAAATGTTGTTGTTTTTTTTGCTGGATTTCTATTACAAAACCAAATCAACTGGAAATACTGATAATTTCTACAAATGTTTGCAGTGCTTCAACATTCTTAGCCAAACTTCAATGAACTGGTAGTCCTTGTTTTATAACAATTCATTTAGTGACCATTCAAAGTAACAACAGCACTGAAAAAAGTGACTTGTGACCAGCCCTCACATTTACAACCGTCACAGCACCCCCAAGGGTCACTTCATAAAAATTTAGTCACTTGGGTAATCAGCATGTATTTACAATAGTTGCAACATCCCAGGGTCATGTGATCACCATTTGCAACCTTCCCAGCTGACCTCTGCCAAGCAAAGTCAACGGAGAAAGCAGGATTTGCTTAATAACTGTATGAGTCACTTAACAATTGCAGTGATTCGCTTAACAACCATGGCAAGAAAGGTCATAAAATCAAGTGCCACTCAGTTAACAACTGTCTTGCCTAGTAAGGAATATTCTGGTCTGAATTGTGATAGTAAGATATTTGTACTGCAAGGAAGTAACATTGGTCTCTTAGGTCTAGATCAGTAGTTCCCAACATGGGGCCCACTGGTTTTTAATGGTGGCAATTTGAACCTTGTTTAAACCAAGTTATTGGCCTTTTAGGCTTCCTCTGTGTGAGTAGAGTTCACTTTTTGAGTAAAGAAAGAATTATATGTTGGGAGTGGGGCCTTCAGGATTTTGGAGATGCTTAGGTGGGGCATGCCCCCCCCCAAAAGATGGGAACCACTGGTCTAGATGGAAAACCTGTGGCTTTCCATATGTCACTGCATTATCATTATCAATACACTCAAAAAACAAAGGTCTGAAAAAATTGCATACTTCTATCTGCCTTTTGCTAATGATAAACATGTTATGTACTGCACAAGATAGTCTTATATTCAGTGTGAGAAAGAAAAGACCTTAGATGCATAATTACTGCATATATGCAGTTAGCATTTCTCCAGGCAGGAGATACATTCTGTGCCATTAGCCAGAGAAGCTGTGTCCTTTAAAGAACAAAATATCAGCAAAAAAGATGCTTCAGTTGCCCAAATACTGGTAAGAACAAAGGAAGACAGTCTAAAAGCCATGGAAAAACCAAGCCAATTATCTGCTGGGAATTCCCAGGAGGAAACCTAGCAAGTAAAATACAAACTGTAGCTACCCACACAATATAAGTAGGAGAAAACTGTGTTCAGCAGAAGTTACATGGTGAGAGGACAGCATGTTGGGCAAGAAAATGGAAACTAACATGTCACTAAGTGTGTTCCCAAAGTGTAAAATCAATTATGAATGGACTGTAATGGCTTATTGTGCCACTCATGAATATATAAAATGAGGTGCTCGAAGAGGTTAAGCTCATTTATGCTGGGGAGAATAATTACCTCTTCTAATGACACATGGAGAGGAAAGTCAAAGAATGGAGGGAAAAATTATACGGTGAGCCAGCCTGATGTTTTGCAATTAGACTGTCTAAACCAAGGATTTCTATGGGACCTATATAATAAGGGGAGTTCCTATTTTAAGGACAACAAATCATTATCCTCACATATCCTATTCTACCTCATCATGGCAGGGACTGGGGGTGGGGGAATGTTTCTGGGAGTGTATGCCAAGTTCCCAGTAAGGTCACCAAGAAATGAAGCAAGCAGGCATCTTATACTTGGTAGCACTACTAGAGGAAGATGCTGGATGCAGATGATCACATTAGTGACAATGGAAAAGGAATTAATTACTATTTCATCGGGGAAGGCAATAGTAAATCACTTCTGTATTTTTACCAAGGATGGAAAAATATAAAATGGTTAACAGTATCCTGCCAGAACAAATCAGGCCCCTCAGGTTGGATGACATCCAACATGCTACTGAGGAGCAACTGAGAATCTTTCTGAGTCATAATGGTGTTTATGATGTGGCTAGATTACAGCCTTCAAGACCTCTAGTTGCTGATACTGCCATATGGGAAAATAAAATTCAAAGCTGCAAAAATAGAATTGCAATACGAACATGGAATGTAAGAATCAGGGACATGGAAAAGCTCAACATAGTGAAAAATGAAGTGAAATAACTGCAACCCGAGATCTAAGGAATTGAGAATTGGATACTTTGAGTCATAAGACCACATTGTTTACCCTTCAGGACATGAGAAAGAAAGAAGGAACAGTTAGGATCATTTAATGCAAATTGGAGCCCTGCATGGAAAAGGAGATGCCAGATGTCAAGATGATTTAGAAAATGCAGAGAAATATGAAATAATATTGCTGCTGCAGGGCTGGATAATTAGGAAAGCCAAAGAATACCAAAAAGAATTCAGTATGTGCTTCATTGATGGTAGAAAGGCCTTGGGTTATGTCAATCACATTAAGCTATGCAATGTGCTTATAAAAATGGGAATTCTGGAACATCTCATTACCTCTCTCTGGAGAAGGTTCTAACTCTGGGGAAAGTAGAAGGAAAGAGGACAACCAGCAGCAAGATGGATGGACTCCATTACATTGGTGATGGGTGCACTATTGGAAAACCTGAGGGATAGGTTAGGGGACAGACCATCATGGATAAAATCTAAATATGTGATTGCTACAATTTGACCTTGACTTGATGGCACCAATTGATCGATCAAGAACTGTTGTCACACAATCAAAATATATCACATACCTTCACTATTTACACCATTTACATTGATAATCAAGGCAGCTCTTGAAAGTATTACTTAGATTCCTAGGAAGATGACAGCAGTCTCTTTCCAAATTAGATGCTATAGTCATTAGCCTCATTCTCCCTCCCCCTTTTATTTGGGGATGCATATAAATTGGGTTTAATTCTCCAGGCCTAAATTTTGAGAGGACTGCTGCGAAAAAACTAACATCTTGTTAGGAATCAATTAAAGTGCCTCATTCTCCTTCACCTGCTGGCTGGCAGATAATAATGTTGACAAATCCCATTTAATGTCAAACATCATCTGCTGTTATAAAACAAATCTCTTTACTATCCGAGTCATGAGTAGATGCTCAATTCGAAAACCTCTTGTCTGATCATAGGAGGGGGAAAAACACAATACAATTGAAATAAAACTTGCGTTTAGCTATTGTGAAAGTAGACCTAAATGAGAGCTAACTTCTGCTTCATTTCTGTTTCAAAAACATTTGGCGGTAATAGACATTCACCAATACACTCACATTTTTTTCCCTGAGTATTTTAATTCAGTGGGAAAGGCATTACAGAAAGAATGATTGCTCAAGCAATCAGTCTTTCACCCACTGCAGTTTCAAAATTTGATGCATATTGTTATTTCTTTTTAGAGAAGCACTTATTTGTAAAGTGACACTTCAGGGCCAAGCTGTCCATTATACACATTTCTATGTAACACTTTCTCCCCAAGACTAGGATTTTTTTTTAAAAAAAAAATATTACTGAATAGAAACCATCCAGACTGCCATCATGAACAAAAGAACGGTGGGTAGGAAAGATAATCACTTTTTTTTCCATGCTGCCTGCTTTTAAGTCTTAGAATTTCTCCCCAATCTCTGTTCCCTCTCTCCCTGCCTTCCCAGTAGAAATATATGTTTCAAATTAATTTTTGAAACATACACAATGTTTCAAAATCTGGAATCTGGCTTGGGTGTACTAGTTCATGCAAAGGCATGGCTTTGCCAGGAATTATATGACATTTAAATTTTCTAAATGCAAAATGAGGATAAACCTCATTTTAACATAACAAATGAAGATTCACATTTACTCAGAGAAACCGTTAATCAAGTAGTGTGTTCAAATCAAGCAAAATGAGGTATCAAAAAATCTAAAGAAATAGATTATAAAGCACTGATTAAGATGTTGGATAGCCATTTGTCTGAAATGATATAGGTTTTCCTGCTTAGACAGGAGGGTGGACTAGAAGACCTCCAAGGTCCCTTCCAACTATTGTGGTTGTGGTTGTGGTTGTGGTTGTATTGTATTGTATTGTATTGTATTACTCTTAGGAAAGAATGCTAGCAGACAGTACTACCTGACATGGCTGATCTTTTAAAGTTATCATACCTCATCAGCACTTGGAAGGGAGTTATATCGGGATTTCTTGGAAGGTTTTTCAGAAGTGGTTTGCCACTGCCTCCTTCCTAGGGCCGGGAGAGAGAGACTGGCCAAAATTCACCCACCTGGCTTTGTGCCTAAGACACTATAATTCATGATCAGCTTTCTAGACTGAGCCCTACACAAAACTGGCTCTCACATAATTAATAGAACCATTACATTGGTGTGAAATAAACACCCTCAACCTCTCTTCATCAGGCTGTTTTCCATCACCTGCAGCACATATTACCTATAATTCCCTGGGAAAACCAATAATGCTTAATTAGAAGTATTCTTTAAGCAAATATTACCAAACGCACATACATCAAGAATATGTTTGTGTGTAGTTAGTTAGTTAATTAGACTTGTATGCCGCCCTATTCCCAGGGGGACTCAGGGCGGCTAACAAACTAAAGGGGATGGGGGTAATACAAAAAAGACAAACAAGACAAAAAGCAAAATACAAGAACAGATTAAAACACCACAACAGCCACAACAATTCGAGTGGGGGTTGGGAACTCATCAGCCCCAGGCCTGCCGGAAGAGCCAGGTCTTGACGGCTTTNACGGAAAGGACACAGAAAGACTTTGTAACCAATCGACACACTGTGTGTAATTGAGGAGGCTTTTAAGTTATATGTGTTGTGTGTTTGTATTTCTCTGAAAATAAAAATTTTATTAAAAAAAAGATTCTGAAGCTGAGACTAGGAGAACTGGGGAGCTAGATTCTAGAACACTAGAAAATGATTTAAAAAGAAAGAAAATCAAATATGCAAGGAAAAAGCTAAAATAATGATACTGTTCTTTGGCCATTTCAGATATTCCTTTCCCCCTATTTTATTGCAAGCAGAAAAATCAGAAATAAAGATTATGTGCACTTATGTATTTCCCTGGGGAGGATAAAATAAGAGGATGATCAAAAAGGGTCAGAATGCTGCAGATATTTGGAAACTGGAAAACCGATGGGAGTGAAGGGCAGATGTTTACTATATGTGTAAAACAGCAGGCAGATCAAAGCTACACTTGGGAATGTATGCATGTGTTAAAGAATTTACTATTCTGATACAGAATTATCAACCATGGAAATAAGCAACTACAGCTAATGAAATCCCACCAGTGTATAAAAATCACACCAATTACCTTGCACTTTCAAAAGTTGCAGAAGGCGACTTCCCAACAGCACCAAATCCAACACCAACAGCCAAACCCTCTGAAACAGAGCAAGAAAGTTGTGGTTACTAATCCTGCAATTTGCTTGGCAGACAGATTGTTCTCTTCAAATATTTGGTTTATATAAAACTTGCAGAATAGCAACAGTTCTTACCTGATGTAAAAATCTATAATTTCCCACTAACCTGGAAATTATAAATTTTCTGATATCTACAAGACACATTACTAGTTAAGATAGAAATGATTCAAAACAAAGACCAATAATGGCATTAATTATGTCTTCCAAAGAAGCCATTGTTATGCCCCCTTTAGGAGCATAAAACTCATATACATTTGATTGTTCTGCTCTATAATTTTAAGTCTAAAATTTTATACAAGGGCACAACATTATATGCTGTAATTACTATTGTAGGTCAGCACCACAATTTGGGCCCAGTATCACAACATAAACTATTATTAGTCTTAAGGATCATGCTGATTTCAACAAACAACAAATCAAATACAGGATGACTCCTTATATGGAACCAACCTGTTTTAAAAGTTGGGAACCGATATTCAAAGCATCACAGTAATTGAACAATGATAATATAGCATGGACACAGATGGAGAAGAATATATGGAAGATGAAAACTACTCATCAGCATTCTAACTACTGCAAGACTCCACATGTAGGTAAAAGAGCAGATGGGATACTTGTTTCAGAAGAAACATGACATAAATTATATTGATGTAAAGTGTTGTGCTTTTTATCCAGATGGAACTAAAACATAATATGGTATTCACCTTGTCAAAGGGCAATTTCTACCTGTCATCTTTCAAGATTAACCACTTGTTCGTATCTCCTACAGAACTGCATTCCTGAAGCACATCAACCAACGCCTTTCTAGATGCAAGGAGGTAAAACTGAAAAATATTAAATAGGGTCAACTGAAAACTAGTAGTGAAGAAAGCTGTTGTTTAAAAAAGGGGCTGCTGATGGTGTGAGTATGTCTAGGTGACATAAGAATGGAGAAGTATAATCAGCAATTCAGACCAAAAGTTTCAGGTGTTTTGAGCCAAAGACAAAGATTAGTCTTGTTTTTTTCAACTGTCTGTTCTGCAGAGTCCTTTGAAAATGTTGATTGGCTACTAGGGCCAGAAAAAGGAAGAGCCAGAAAGCAGCACTATCCACAAGGGGGCTGAGACAACAAGAAGAAGAAAGGTGAAAAGAGATGCCTGTATTCACTCAGAGCATGGGTGTAAAACTCGCGGTGTCACATTGCCGTCATGTGAAGTTTTCCCTCTCCGCAGAACTGGACTGGGTGTGGCCTGTGTGTGACGTATTCGGCTCACAGGCCGCCAGTTGTACACCCCTGGCCCAGAGAAAAGTCCCACCACATGAGTCTTTGAAGAGTGAAGCAGGCGAAGAAGCAGGAATGACAACGCATCCACAAAAGAGCAACCATTATTCAAATATGAGAGACAAGCTCTGTACCATACTTGAATCAAAAAGCTGGAAGAAGGTGAACAACTAACTCTGGGAAAGAAGGAGGAAATAAAAAGTCAAAATAATAAAAGTTTAAGAACTAAGTTGTAAAGCAATAAAAGAGATAAGAAAGTGTTAGCAGAGGGGAGAGTGAGAACAAGAGGACTAAAGAGCTTACGATTTGGATGAAAAAAAAGCTGCTGCTAAGTAAAGAAAAGGCTTCAAAGTTCAAACCAAAATCTAACTAAAGAGGAATTTAGAATAAGACAGAAAAAACAGCTAACATTTAGAAATATAAACATTAAAAGTGACACTAATCACTGGCTATAATAAACCAACACCCTATTTGTCATACAGTTGTAAAAGAATACACCTTTCATAATAAAATCCTGATACCTGCCTCACTGCCTTTATAATCCTTTATAAAAAAATTATCCCATGATATAATTATACTACCATCACTGATCGCCGGCCATTATAGCTGGGATTGATAAGAATCCCATAATAACTTTACACTACATTCCAATGTAAAGCTAACTTGTCTATTGCACAGATCTGCAGGACTAAATAGCCCAATAAAACTGTATTTAAGATGGCTGTTCCACATCTGGAATGTCAAAGAGAAAAACAAATCCCACATAGGAAAATATAAACAAAATTTCTTTTTGGAAAAAAGCAGATCAACCTTTCCTGAAATAACTTTTGTCTGTAAAACCACTTTTGCTTTGTCAGCTTCGCTGATGTGAAAATTAGAATTCTTAGGACATGTTAACTCACAGGAGATGAAATTTGTTGTGAGCCAGATTTTACATTTTTTTAAAGTTATTATAGTAAAGAACTCAGCATGTTCTATTAAGACACCCTTCTGCCAGGTGTATTTTCAACTCTGCAGGGGATAAATCAGAACTGCTTTAATTACAATTGCATTATCTGTTAATAGGGAGAGAAAAGAAAGCATTTAGCCTTCAAACAGGTGCAGAAAATCAGACAATGTTTTGTGCTCACCAGAGATGAATTTTGAAGCAATTCCTGCATAATTGGCTCGTTCTCCTTAACTCAATTATGGAAGCTTCTATTTTCCCCCCTTAGTTATATTCCCTCTCTCTCAATACTGAATGTTCATTGGAATAATTCTTACCTGTATAGAAAACATTAAGGTATTTTTTAAAATAACATGTTGACAGATTCTACTTACTGAGGAAAATAGGTGGGTGTATAATGTGCTAGAACACCAGATGGTTGAAAAAAAGGGAAAAAAGAGCATTGGAAGAATATTTGAAGGACAGCGAAGTAATACAATAATACAATAGCAGAGTTGGAAGGGACCTTGGAGGTCTTCTAGTCCAACCCCCTGCATAGGCAGGAAACCCTATACCGTTTCAGACAAATGGCTATNCCGCAACCCTCCCTTTCAAGAGGGAGCGGGCTATCCTGAACAAGGCAGCTGGGTGCGACTCAGCGGATGCAATCAGAGCGGCAAAATAAGCGTTTTTTGATGTCCGAATTGCCAGGAGATAGGCTCTATACAGGTGTATAGATAGTTTAATTTTTAAAAGCACTACTTTTAGGTCCTTTGCAATCAGGTAAAAGAAAATACTCATTTCTGGTATAGTTACCATAAAATCATGCAATCCAACTTGCATTTAAACACATAGGAGTAATTTACATATGCTAATTAATATAGTATCAATAAGACCACTAGATATGGGCTGCAAACGTATGGATGACCAGTAGATGGCAGCTAAGAAATATACTGTATAAAACCAGCTCTTTGTGCATTCAGTGCTACTGTCTATTAAAAGAAAGCTTACATCGGTATAACATATATACTCTAAATTCCATGCAAGCCAGGAATCTGATAATGTGCAATGGAATTTTAATTCATATAACATATGGCTTCTCTTGTGAATAGATATCACTATAGAAGTAGAAGAGTGAATCCTCCTTACCTATTTATGAGATCTTAAAGAATGGTGGGACACATACACACTTTGAATCTAATGTCCCTGGTCTCGCCAAGCCAAGCCAGGAGCTCTGACAGGATTTTCTACTTTTCTTTATGAGACCATGAATCCCCCTTTACCCCTTTCAGGCCTTCATAATTAAAGAGAATTATGACACTTGGGATTCTTCAGCTCTTATTTCCACCAAACCTGTACATCTAATTCAGCAGGCTTAATTCTTGCACAGGAATGAAATTTTCATACTATTCAAACAACAGCAAATATAAAGGTGCATAAATAATGGTAATTTCCAGCGAGCTCTGCTCCATGACCATAGACTTTCATTCCCAATAACATTGTCACTATGTGACTTCAGAGATGTAGCATTGTAGAGAAGATATACATTTTAATGCACTTCAGTTAGAATATCAGCTAACAATAGTTACGTGTTGAAATTGGAAAGAGCCACACTTACATTCATGATCAACCTATAAAGCATTGAAGTATGCTTAGTATGTGTGGTTTCAACATCTTGTTCTTCAATACTAAGCTACAGCTAGGTTTTGAAGGGAAGAAACTGCTTATCTTAAAAGCATATATTCTACCTAGCTATTATTGTCACCTTGGCAAGAGAATAAAGACATATGAAGCTCACTAACTTGCTGCAGCCTTATCAGCTCTGGCAATGCAACAGTCAAGAAATTGTAAATACAAACATACCTGCCCAACATGTGGTTCTTTCGCCAGAGATTTTATGTCAAAGAAAGCATATTGCAGAAAAATAAAACCATTTTTACATGCATTTTCCACATTATGGAAAAGAAACACCGTCACTTTCTTTTCCAAACATGTAGAACAGCCTCCGGCAGAGGAAAACTAATGTTTTTTCATATTAATGAGAATTATTTCTATTCATCAGAAAGAATCTAATATCTACTGCACTAAAAATTATAGATGTTTCTAGCTGCTGCTTGCAGGCACCTTGTGATAAATAGCATCTAACAAGAGTATAGCGCTCACTAATTCAGAGTAGCTGCACAAAGAAGGTCTCCACTTTGGTGGCTAGTCATAGAAATAATAATAATAAAATAATAATAATAATAATAAAATAATAATAATAATAATAAAATAATAATACCTGGGCAATACCAGCTATAAGATACACAGCTGGTATAGTTAACTGAAAAACAGCGGATAACAGCAGCAGCTAGAAACATCTATAATTTTTAGTGCAGTAGATATTAGATTCTTTCTGATGAATAGAAATAATAATAATAAAATAATAATAATAATAATAAAATAATAATAATAATAATATTAATAATAATACCTGGGCAATACCAGCTATAAGATACACAGCTGGTATAGTTAACTGAAAAACAGCGGATAACAGCAGCAGCTAGAAAAATTGAAAGATATGAGGCACGAATCATCCAATATAAACAAAATCAGC